GCTGGTCGATCACACCACTCATGTACCCCGCCTCCTTCTTCTTCTCCGTGCCCAGCACTGCCTATGTGGTGCTCACCTGCATAAACCTCTTTATTGGCATCAATGGAAGTATGGCCACCTTTGTGCTTGAACTGTTCTCTGATCAGGTGAGGGACCACAAAGCTGAGGCTTGGGCTGGGTTGGGTCATTGGACTCAGCCCCTGACCAACATCCCTCTTCCTGTCCTTGAGCAGAAGCTGCAGGAGGTGAGCCGGATCTTGAAACAGGTCTTCCTTATCTTCCCCCACTTCTGCTTGGGCCGGGGGCTCATTGACATGGTGCGGAACCAGGCCATGGCTGATGCCTTTGAGCGCTTGGGTGAGAACTTCCTCTCAGGTGGGGCCATGGCTGCAGATAGCTAGCACCATTGGAGACCTAGAGTTAATTACACAGAGTGGAGACAAACAGCCCTCAGGGAGACAGCCAGGATTTGTAGGTGGCCCCAAGATTGGGCCAAGTTAGAGATACAAGAAAGCAGCCAGGAAAACTACTTCTGTCTTGGGTTATATCACAAGAGGCCTAAGGCTCTAGTTAAGGGAGGTGATAAAACTTCTATTTTCTATGTCAATTAGACGCCAGCTTAGTGGCCTATCCAATTTGTATTCCTTTCCCTTAAGAATCCAGAGTGACGTGGTGGAGAGGGGGCCAGAAACCAAGCCTCTCATGGACTGAGTCCCTCCTTTCTATATCCACAGGAGACAGGCAGTTCCAGTCACCCCTGCGCTGGGAGGTGGTCGGCAAGAACCTCTTGGCCATGGTGATACAGGGGCCCCTCTTCCTTCTCTTCACACTACTGCTGCAGCACCGGAGTCAACTGCTGTCACAGTTAGTGGGGTCTACAGAGAGGGTGGCAGGGGCCAAGGACCTACTTTAGGCCCACAAACGTTCTGTCCCCAGACCCAAGGTGACGTCCCTGCCGCCCCTGGGAGAGGAGGATGAGGATGTAGCCTGTGAGCGAGAGCGGGTGGTCCAAGGAGCCACGCAGGGGGACGTGTTAGTGCTGAGGAACTTGACCAAGGTAGGTGTGACCAGGTCGACTGCTGTGTGGAGGGACTCTCACTGGCCCCCTCACCTTTCTGAGGGACCTGCACTCTCCCAGGTGTACCGTGGGCAGAGGATGCCAGCTGTGGACCGCTTGTGCCTGGGAATCCCCCCTGGTGAGGTGAGTCCAGAGGTGGAGGCCTAGTGCAGGGGCAGTGAGAGGCTGCCCTACTGTGTGCCCTGCCCGTCCTCCTTTGCTGAATACCTACTATGTGCCCACTGCCCTTTGTTGAGCAACTACTATGCATCCACCACCTTTTATTGGGCACCTGCTGTGTGCCAATATTTGTGCTCCTACTGTGAGCCAACAAAACCTCATTAAGCACCTACTGCATGCTTACATCTATAGAACACACACTGTGCTCACCAAAGAGGCGTACTAAATACTTTCGTGTCCATCAGTGTTTATCAAACTCCAATAGAATTTATTGAACCCCTATTGTATACATATCTATACCAAGCACCTGCTCTCAGCCAACATTTATCAGGCACCTGCTTTGTATTAGCTCACATTCAGGCACCTGCTATGCAGATTGATTTGCTGTGTGCCACTTATTGGCCACCTACTAGGGCTGGCACACATCTGCAAACACATGCTATATATTAGTACACATTGCAGTGTGTATGTGTGTATGTGTGTGTGTGTGTGTGTGTGTGTGTGTGTATTTTTTTTCATTTTGAGATGGAGTCTTGCTATCACCCATCCTGGAGTGCAATTGCATGATCTCAGCTCACCGCAGCCTCCACCTCCCAGGTTCAAGAGATTCTCCTGCCTCAGCCTCCCCCAAGTACCTGGGACCACAGGCAGGCACCACCACACCCAGCTAATTTTTGTATTTTTTGCTTGTTTGTTTTGAGATGGAGTCTTGCTCTGTCACCCAGGCTGGAGTGCAGTGATACATTTTGGCTCGCTGCAACCTCCGCCTCCCAGGTTCAAGCCATTCTCCTGCCTCAGCCTCCCAAGTAGCTGGGATTGCAGGAGGCTGCCACCACACCCAGCTAATTTTTGTGTTTTTAGTAGAGATGGGGTTTCACCATGTTGGCCAGGCTGATCTCAAACTCCTGACCTCAGGTGATCTGCCTGCCTCAGCCTCCCAACGTGCTGGGATTAAAGGTGTGAGCCACTGGGCCCAGCCCACAGTATATCTTTACTAAGCACCTACTTTGTGCTGGCCAAGCTCTCCACCTTGGGCTGACTGTGCATCCAGCCTAAGTGCACAGCATACCAGGAAACATGGAATGCTCACACCCTGATAGTTGCTGAGCAGTTGCTGCATATGACCTTTATGGGGTACCCACTATATGCCAAAAACTATTGCCTGCTATGTGACAGCTTTATGCCTTGCTACGTACCAGTTTCTGGCCAGCTCCCCCGGGGCACCATGCATGGGGAAATTAGAGGTGCTGAGGCTGGGCGTGGTGGCTCACACCTGTTGCTCAAGACCAGCCTGGGCAACATAGTAAAACCTTGTCTCTACTAAAAATGCAAAAATTAGCCAGGCAGGTGCCACACACCTGTAGTCTCAGCTACTCCAGAGGCAGAGACAGGAGAATTGCTTAATCCCAGGAGGTGGAGGTTGCAGTGAGCTGGGTTCACGCCAGTGCACTCCAGTCTAGGTGACAAAGCAAGACTCTATCTCAAAAAAATAACAAACAAAAATATCAGAGGTTCTGGAACTAGGGCCTGGGGTCTCACTGAGCACGTCTGTGGGCATCCCTGCAGTGTTTTGGGCTGCTGGGCGTGAACGGAGCAGGGAAAACGTCCACATTTCGCATGGTGACGGGGGACACGTTGGCCAGTGGGGGTGAGGCTGTGCTGGCAGGCCACAGGTGAGGGGCGGCAGGTGGGGTTGGGGTATGGCAGGGCGGGTCCTGATGTCCATGTTCTTCCCCACCCCTCCACTTCCGATGCTTGGACTGGGCTCACTGACCCCCACCTCCATGGGCTCTGGGACCCCTGCACCCCTCCATCCCACACAGAGACCAGGCCCCGAGACACCCCTGTCCGTTACCAGCATGGTCCTGGATGGGTGGGCCCTCAGACCCCTGTGGTAGCCACCAGTATGGTCAGGGACTAGCCAGCTCTCTGAGCCCCTGCACCCCCATACCCAGCGTGGCTCAAGAACCCAGTGCTGCGCACCTCAGCATGGGCTACTGCCCTCAATCGGATGCCATCTTCCAGCTGCTGACGGGCCGCGAGCACCTGGAGCTGTTTGCGCGCCTGCGTGGTGTCCCAGAGGCCCAAGTTGCCCAGGTGAGCCCACTCTGCCCCCACCACTCTCACCTCCCGGGGCCCACCCGACCCGGGCCATGCCCCTAAAGCCTGGTCCAATCCTGCACTCTCTTGCCTTGGCTCCACCCCTGTCCCTGCCCCCAGATCATGCTTCCTGGTCCAATAGGGGTGTGGCTAGCCCGCCTCTGCCCCACCCCACCAAGTTCCAACATTCTCATTGGTCCACCAACCCTTTTTTCCACTGCACGTTGCCCCTTCCACCTCGAGTGTCCCTGCCCACTTGCTCCTCTTCCACCTCCCCCTTAGGGCTTCCCACGTTTCTGGCCAGTTCATCATCTGCTTCTCACTCTGGCCGTCACCAGTTTCCAGCCCCTTCACTGTCTCTTCCCCCTGCTTGGAGTACTCTTTGCTCTGACCCGCCCCACCCTCAGCCTGTCCCACCCTCAGCCTGTCCCACCCTATGGCCTCTCTGGCCCCGCCCCATACCCATGCTGGCCTCGCCTACACCATCGCCCCGCCCCACACTCATTGGTCCCCCCTCGTATCCATGCTAGCTCCACGCACATCCTGGTACCACCCCATACTCATGCTGGCTCCACCCACACCATAGCTCCACCCCATACTGCTCATGCTGGCTCCACCCACACCATAGCTCCACCTCCTACTAGTGCTGGCTCCACCCATACCCTGGTACCACCCCATACCAGTGCTGGCTCCACCCATACCATAGCCCCATCCCCTACTAATGCTGGCCCCACCCACACCATAGCCCCACCCCCTACTAGTGCTGGCTCCACCCACACCATGGTCCCGCCCCTCACTCATTGGTCCTGCCACACATCCAGGCTGGCTCCACCCACATCCTGGCCCCACCCTATACTCATGCAGGCTCCACCCACACCATGGCCCCACCCCATACTCAGGAGGGCTCTACCCACACCATGGCCCCACCCCATACCAGTGCTGGCTCCACCCACACTGGCCCCACCCCATACCAGTGCTGGCTCCACCCACATCATGGCCCCGCCCCATACATGTGCTGCCCCACGACAGTATGGCTGTGCATTCTCACGTTGCCCTACCCCCTGCCCTCTGTGCCCCTGTTCCACACTCAATGCAGGCCCTGCCACACTGTGGCCCCGCCCCATCCCCATATTGGCCCCACCCCATGCCCACTCCGGCCCCACCCCACAGACTGCTGGCTTGGGCCTGGCGCGCCTGGGACTCTCGTGGTACGCAGACCGGCCTGCGGGCACCTACAGCGGAGGGAACAAACGCAAGCTGGCGACGGCCGTGGCGCTGGTTGGGGACCCAGCCGTGGTGTTTCTGGTGTGTGGAGGTGGCACCTGAGTGGGATGGGGCCTGCGACAGAGGCTGGGCCTGGCTTATGAGATTTTCCCCGCTTCCTAGGACGAGCCGACCACAGGCATGGATCCCAGTGCGCGGCGCTTCCTCTGGAACAGCCTCCTGGCCGTGGTGCGGGAGGGCCGCTCCGTGATACTCACCTCGCACAGGTGGGCCGGGTGCAGAGGCCCCGGGCTGTGGTTAAGGCGATCCATACCTGGAGAGAGACCCCCCAAAGCCACCGGGATGGGGGGTCCTGTTCTGTTCCTGGTGGGACGAGGGTGCCAGGCCCCGGGGCATAAGGGTACGCAGAGGTGGGATGCAGCCCCGGATCATAGCAGTCTGGGCTGGGTGGGGAGATGTCCAGTCCAGAACGGTGGCCTGGGCCTGGGGAAGCAGGCAATGTGGTGCCAGGCACAGGTAGCCCAGGCCTCACAGAGCTCGTGGGCTGGTCCCGACAGCATGGAGGAGTGTGAAGCGCTCTGCTCGCGCTTGGCCATCATGGTGAATGGGCGGTTTCGTTGCCTGGGCAGTGCGCAACATCTCAAGGGCAGGTGAGCGGGCCGGGCCTCCAGGCAGGTGCGGGATGAAGGTGGCCACGAGGTGGGCTCAGTAAAGAGGCCAGACGTGGAGACAGAGCGGAGGAAAGTTTGGCTAGGCTGTAGATTGTCCTTCAGGGGTGACTGAGAGGGCCAGACAGGCTGGAGTGTGCTGGGGGCGCAGGACCAGAAGGCCTGAGCCAGAGGCTCTGTGTGGATTTAGAAGACGTAATCAGGGGTGCGTTGGAGAAGGTGCAGCCAGGAGAGGTGAGAGTGGGTTGATGGGTGGAGTTAGTGGAGGGCCTGGTGAGTGGGCGGGGCCTTTGGAAAGTGGGTGGGGTTGTTTGTGTGGGCGGGGCTAGGGCGCAAGGGCGGGGCCACTTGTGCCAAAAGAGGAATCAAGTGGGGTGATAGTTTCAAGACCAGCCTGGGCAACCTAGGGAGACCCCCTTTTTTTTTTTTTTTTTTTTTTTTTTTTTTTTTTTTTTTTTTTTTTTTTTTTTTTTTTTTTTTTTT